CTCTCTCGCTGTCTATGCTACCTGCATTCTAACTTATGTGATCCTTGGGCTCACTCGTATTACTTGTCTTTGTCTCTTGCTGCAGTTTAGAATATCTCTCTAGAACCTCTAACGTTCGTAACTATCATTCCACCACACTTTCTTTCACTGTTCTATCTCTCTGCAGTACTTAACCCTTTTCTGGTTGTCTACCCCAACTCTGTATTTCTAAAACAGAGTACTATGCTAAGGTACTCTATACTGCACATACCTCAGCTGTCCTCTCTCTGTTCTTCAGTCACTGTCACATGCTGTCTTTTTTTCTGGCAATAGCAGGAAGTGTTGTGTGGAAATCTGTGACACCAAAACACAGTCAGCTGTTTCGTCACTTGGGAAATTACCTTTCAAGCACTGAACACAGAGGCTGCAAAATGTCAGTAACAGCACACATAACAGGCTACTTGTCTGTCATTTGTTCCTAAAACCATCTGGCTACTGAATGTCACATCTGCAAATCCTGCACTCATAAGCGGTCACATCAGACTTGATTAGATTATTAAGGCTGAGAAACAGACTTCATATAGAGACGTCCACTGGCTCTGTACTAACAAGCATTGCAAGGGACAATGCTGCAGTTTAAAAGGACTTCAACCTTTATTGAAGGTTAGTTCTGCTTCCTCTTCATATATCAGCTGAATCTTAAAACCTTCAGAATGCAGCACAATGTACAGAGCACAGAAATGACGGTATGACAAAAAACTAGAAATCTAAATGTCAGGAAGAAAATATATCAAGAGAATCATAGTTAGTCTCTTAAGAAGTATATATAAATGTAGAAGTATGTGTGTATATGTATATATGTGTGTGTGTGTGTGTGTGTATATATATATATATATATATATATATATATACACACACACACACTTATATACACACATAAAGACGACGGACACTGGGAAATTCCGTAATACAAGTAAGAGGAGACTCACCAAACCAGATTGTAAAGTCACAGCTTAGCTCACAGGGTTAGTTTACAGCATCATCAGTAGTGATTGTTGTAAGGGTGTATGGGCGTTACAGGTGCGTAGGTGGCCAGACTTCCATTCTAACAAAAAAAAAAGACAATTGAGTGGTTGCAAATCTGATCAGTCCTGTAATATGTAGTCTTTCTGTATTAAAACCATCTCGTCACAGTACTCGAAATAAAAATACTTTTGTTACACACACAGAAATTGCGACACAGTCCAAGTCAGAAAGAACACAACGCTTATTACTGATTGAATGGAAAGAACATAGCACTCACAGGGTTTTCACATTAGCTGAATCTCAACACAGTGTGAGATTCCCCTGTAACATATCTTTGGTTATAACTGGAATTTTCAGTATATCTGCACTTCTTATAACCTGGACTTGTGACATGCTTCTTCTTAGTAGTCTGTCTAGGGGTAATAGGAGTGTAAGGCCTTAGTGTGACAGGTGTTCTTGCAGGTGCATGATTAATTTTGCTAGACTAGGAGTGCTAATGGATAAGGAAGCATGCTAATTCACTATTATGGTTAGAAATGAATAGGATGACTGGAACAGTCCTTAATTACAGTGAAGAATTCAAACAGACCAATGTATATTGGGTGATACATAGTGTAAGAATGGCCTTTGTTGGGTGTGCTTTGTTTCCCTGTCTGATCTTCTGCCAATATCTATCTTGAGTGTCAATGCAAGACAAGTGAAAATCTACATACCAAAGGAGATCAATACATACTGAGCTCCTAACATATTTAAAGGGACACTATAGTTACCAAAACCACTTTAGCTTAACAAAGCAGTTTTTGTGTATAGATCATGCCTTTGAAGTTGCACTGCTCAATTCTCTGCCATTTAGGAGCTAAATCATTTTTGTTTCTGTTTATGTAGCCCTAGCCAAATCCTCCCCTGGCTGTGACTGATACAGCCTGCATGAAAACAAAATAGTTTCATTTTCAATCAGATGTAATTTACTTTGAAAGTTTTTATTTCCTGTTCCGTAAATTGAACTTTAATTACTTACGGGAAGCTCCTGCAGGATTCATCAAGCTATTAGCAGAGCAGGAGATAAGAAATTCAAAAACAAACAGTAAGTATAAACATTACATAACTCAACAGGAAGTGCTTAGGAAGGCTGTGTAAGTCATATGCAAGAAGGTGTGACTAGGGCTGCATAAACAAAGTGATTTAACTCCTAAATGGCAAAGGATTGAGCAATGAGACTGCAGGGGCATGTTCTATACACCAAAACTGCTTCATTAAGCTAAAGTTGGTTTGGTGTTTACAGTGTCATTAGCTGAATCTCAACTCAGTGTGAGTTCCCCAGTAGCATACTTTTGTAACTTGAATTTTCAGTACATCTGCACTTCTCAGAACCTGGACATGTGCAATGCTTCTCATTAGTTTGACTAGGGGTAATAGGGATGTAATGTCTCAATGTGACAGGTGTACTTGGCATTGAACCATAAGTGTTTAAATTATTAGCTCCCCTCACCCACATTCAGAGTAAAAAATTACACTAAACCTGTCTGTTATCCAATCAAACTGGCAGCCACTAGTGGCATAGTTTTGGACAAATCTAAACATTGCTTTTTTCTGCTTAACTTTGTCCCAAAAAATGGACAGTGTTTATGTACCACATGGCTAAAGCAGAAATTCTCATTTAGCCACATTTTGAAGCAAAAAGCAGTGCATCATCTAGTGGTACCCAGGTAAGTGTGAAATCATTCACAAATAGTATGATCTCTTACAGGGGAAAGAGCACCCACAAATATTGGAATATTTGCATAAATCTGAAGAATTCCATAGCGTGCATCCTGTTCTCTTATTCTAAGTATTCTTGTGTCCTCTAAGAGGTAAATGCCCTACTTCTATAATCCCCATCACTGTCAACCAATTAAACACCAAAGGAAGCTGACCTTCAGGATACATTGGTTCAAAAAATAAAGATAGTGGCTGCAATACATATTACTGAGCAAGACTTGTGAGAAGTGAGGCTTGGCCTCAGAATTATGTGATTGGTTGGTTTTAGGTATAAACCGATAATTGGTTCTGCCGATTATTAGAGCAGATATTCTAATCAGTTTTGGTCTTGTAATATACAGATAACTTGCTCACCTCTACCAGTCTCCGCATACAGTCTTCCGCATACAGAAACTCCAACTTTTAGCCACAACCTCACATCTCCCCTCACATGTGGAGCTCAGCTGAAGGCAAGAAGTTGATACAGTGAATAATCTCCAGTAATGTACTAGGCTGGCTACCTGAGAGAAAGAGGATTGTGATTGCTGTTAAAAAGCACACTTCTATGAGTAGCAACACTGTACATTGTGTATTGGCTGTCTTAGAGTGATAGGAGTGTGATTGCTGTCAGCATAGTCAGTTAAGTCCAGATTTGTGTAGAAATTGTGCTGCTTTTTTAAAATCATCACCGGTTATCAGCAATCAGCCCGAAAAGGCTACACATAATCTATATCGGGATCAGTTCTGGAAACATGATATTGGTTGATTCCTTGTTGGCTTCCAAGCCAACCAATAACAGTTCTATTGCTG